TCTGTCCTGTGCCGAGCCTACTGCTTTATCTCTCGACCAAGCGGGCGCCCCTAAGTCAGCTGAGGGCGCTACTGCATTCAGGACTGGCCCCACCCCACTTCCTGGTGGGGGCTCCGGCACCCCGAAGGGCACAGTAGGCGCGCGGGACAAACTGTTTTCATCAGTCTCATCAGCATCAGCCCCATCAGGAACTTCCTGCACCCCGTCATCCTCATCATCATCTACTTGTAACGCAGTTGCCCTGACCGTGGCTTCCGAATCTGGCCCGTGGGAGGCCATTATACAACGCCGCCCCTCTTGACCCAGCGAAGAAATGAGGGAGTAGACCCCCAAGAGCAGAGGAGAACCTCCTCCCCCCCCCCCCGTACAGGACAGGAAACGTGGGAGTACACCCACTCAGTCCGTTTCGGATTAGAGATCGGCCTGAATTCGGCCCGAGCCCCACACACTCACACCTAGATAGTCAGCTTTGATCCCTGGGCTCAGGAGCCTTTGAGCCGACACGGCCTTGAGCCAAAATGGCTTGAGCCAAAATGGCTTGAGCCAAAATGGCTACGGAACTCCATTACAAATCTTCGGTTTTTGGTTTCACCGACATCGGTTTCAGTCGATTGTTTGCGCCCGTTCCGTCCCTCAAGCAGGGCTGCCCCTGATGCGATAAGTGAGCGATTGCGAACATGTCGAAGAAGGTACAGGATCACTCATTGCAAAACTCACGTTCATGTATCGGGTTTTAATGTACCCGCAGAGCTGAACGTCGATTCCGGCAAACGCGACGAAGACTGCCAATTCGAGGGGAAATTCAATCACGGCTCTGCCGCTGTAACTTCCGCCAAGAGCATTTAGAGATACAGAGCTGCCAGTGCCGGTTCAATCGAATCAGAATTCCGGGCTATGCTTCAAAACACACGGAACTACAGGTTGTTTAAGCTCTGGAATCAAACAGGATTACATTACATATATATATATAGATAGAGATATATATATATATAGTACACTGAGCTTCTAAAGCGGCCCTGAGACAAGCTGCGTCCCAGCGAAAGGCGTGCAACGAGCTTCGCGAATAAGGCACTGGAGTTTGGTGAGGAACAGATGGATACGAATGTTTCAGGACTCGAGACACCTGGGACTACAGAGGAGACAGCCAGGTGTCGGACATGGGACCCCCGGCAGGAGACTGGGTCTAGATTTCAATGGAGGAACAACTGTTGAAGTTCTCGACTAAGTGAGAGAACACTAAACTTGGAAACAAACATATGCGTCAGTGCGTGCATACTGCTTACAAGCGGACGGTGGGTGCGATGGGAGCACGGATCACCTGCACCTTTGCACGCGAAAGCAGGCAAGTGCGCCCAATGGATAAACATGTGGGAAATATCAATACGTCTATTCGGAAATTTAACCCAATGCAACAAGCAAGTCTCGCTTTTTTGGCAAATTCACCCCGCTGCACGTGTCTGGAGAGCAACTGGGCGTGCAGAGTTGCTGGAGCGGCTGGGACAGCACGCAAACCGCCACCGGAATCGGCGCAAATGTTCACCAAATTCATCCGAAACAAAGGAAATCGGAGGAATTCGACAAAACTCGTCCAGCCGTTCTTGGTTGAGTGGGACAGTGGGCAGATGGGGGCAGCAGGCAAAGAAAGTGCGTCTTTTTGCCACTCGCACGGTTGGGATTTTGAAGCATAGGGCACGACTAGCATGGGCTGGCTTAGCAGATGTAGCTTGCCTGCGTGGCCTCAACTTGGAGCTGCGGCTGCTGACGAGACTTCGCTCTCGATCTCAACTCCGTACCCCGATACTCCACGGCATTCCAAGGCAGCACGTCCTCGTAAAGCAAAGCAGAAGCGCAACTTGACAGTGTACGGGCATGTCCGTCTCTCGGACCCGTTCCTTCGGCAAGACCAGCGAAGGTGGTGGCCTCTAGCAGAAGCGCTTGGAAGCTTTTAGTCCACGGATCAGGGTGCGAGAAAGCCAAACCTGGCCTCCACTCTTTTGCCAGTCGAATCTCACGGGTTAGGGTTCCTTGTGCGGCCTGCGCATCACCAGAATTAGCACCCGTGGCTGCTGTCTACGCTCGCTCGTCCGTTTGTAAAAAACCAGCAAACATTCTTGGCCTCTATGGCCGCTTTGGCATCAGTTTCCGAGGCCTTTGGTTGCAGCTCCTGCAGGAAGGCGGCACGTTCGAGCGAAGCAGCGTGAGCGACTCGCGAATCTTGCTTGGGCTGGTGGCACATTCCAGGGCTGCCAGAACCAAGGTCGCCAAGGTCCGTGCAGGGTTGAAATCAGAAAGCTTCACTGGAACCGCACCAAGACCATGCGACTGCGAAGCAAATATTTTATGGCGCAAGCAAAAAGCAAAAGGAAAGCACAACCTTACAGCACGATGAAATAGAAAGGCCGCCTGCCTGTGCATGCGATGCCTGACCACTAAATTCGACTCTGCCAAGCCTGCGTCTTTGCAGATTTGTCTTCCGTTGCAGAGCTTGCAGTGTGAGCTTCCACCTGCGAGTGGCTGCAAAAACCAAGAAGGCTTGGGATGGTTCGGGAGTCGGCGGCCTCGGCGGCCTCGGAGACTGTCAGATGGGATGTCGGTTCCTGCTCCAAGCGATGCCCTTTCGGATCTTGGCTGCGAGTTGCCGCATGAGTTCTTTGAACTCGGGTCTTTGAGGCCAGCCTCGAAGTCGACCGGCCTCGAGAAGACAAAAAATGGATGCCCCGGATGGATAAGAAGCCATGTAAACGCGCCTGTCACGGTTCCAAGGCTCCTGAAATGAAGGCAGGAAGTATGAAAAAGTGTGGTAAAGGACGAAACTGACTGTCGGATTGCCGGTGCGCACCTTCTTGGAAGGCACTCCTGGATTCTCTTCGATTTCAGTTGCTGCTGGCCTCGCCAATGCATATGCTCCCCTCTCCAAACATGGAGTGCTTCCTGGCATGGCTCCTTTTTTGCTCTGGACTTGGGTCATCAGGCGGCGCTACCTGGCAGCAAAAGGCGGCTGGATAAAGACGGTTTCCTTCTACAAGACCTTGAGGCCCGCCATGCCAACTGGTGTGCAAAACCTGCAGCATCCTTACGCGCGCTCTGTCGAGAACCTGGGTGCAGTGGAACTAATCCAAGTTAATTAAATTTAATTTCAACAGAACGCCAATACACGCGTCTGTAACGTCTTCCTCGGCCTGCTTTGAAGGGGAAACGCGGGAGCCCCGGACGACAAAAAACACCGAATCGAAGCCAGATTGATATCATGTTTATTAAATCAAGTAATAAGTTAATTGAGACTAAGCCTTTTGGCATTCTATGTGAGGCTGGAAGCCCTCTGCCGGGAGCCCGGCAGAAAAAGGAAGGACCTTGAATAGTGTCTGACTGACGGGATTGATGATTGATGCGGTAGAAGTGCATACTGCAAACCGAGCCTAGCCCTCCGTTGTTTCGACTCAATTTTCAACACAAGCCCTTCGAAGCCGGTGCCACTGTTCCCAGCCCAGCCTCTGCGGCTTTCACTGCTTGTGCAGCCTGTGCATCCGATGTCAATTTCAGAGTCTGGTAGGATTCGGGCTCCCCGGGTTCACAGTTTAGAGGATAAGCTCGCTTCCTCGGACACCGCAGCCTTCAGTTTGGGACTGTTCCGGTTTCTTGCTTGGTGCTTGGCGGTGCTTGGGTGCTTGTTTATTTGGACTTGCGTTGTGGCGTTATCCACCATTTCGCGTGCTGTACAATTCTATGTTCACTTTGTGTCCCCTCTGGACAATCCCGGCCTCATGCTCGAAAGCGATGTGCTGCGCCTCTCTCTCGAGTGGCAGCCTAAGTAAGCCCACAGAATTCAGAACTCACCGCCTGTTGCACTTTTTCCATGTGTCAACCTTCAAATGCGAGAACATGGCTGTGAGCACAACCTTGCAGAGTCCTGCTTTTTTCTCTTTTTCTTAACCTCCTCGCAGGATCAAACAGTTCAGCCTTTATTGTTAAACATCCCTACTCTCGCTGTCCTGTGCAGCCTGCTTCTGGCTTTGCGTGGGCACATTCGGCCTCAGCACGTCGTGGTTTTGAGAATAGCACCGTGGCAGCTCGATGGACGAATGCAGCCAAGGCGACACGTCTCTGTCTGCGTCTGGCTCCTCTCTCAGTCTCATTGGAGCTACGTTGGTTTGAAGAGGGCTCAACTCCGGCTTCGTCATCTTCGTCCTGCGCAACTTCGACTGCTCCTCCTTGCCTCGATCGAGTGAATGAAAATGTTCTGGCACCCTACTATTGCTGCGCTGCTGAGTTCAAGGCTGTGTTGTTGAGCCATCAGGGCCATGGCTCTTCTCCTTTCGGTTCTTCTTGCGACCGTCGGGCTCTGCCACCTGAAGCTTTCACCCACTCCCCACATTGCACAAGAGCTCTCAAGTTTAGTTTCATAAATGGACAGTACGATGTATAAAGCACAGCAACACCTCTCAAGCATCGAACATCAGGCACCCACTCCCAGCACCCGTGCTCTGCTTGGCACTACGTTTATGCTCCGGAGCTCCTGTCTTGCGGCAGAAACACAACCGTTCAGATCTCTTTCGGAAATCAAGCTGTTGCTTCATATGGTCTGGATCCTGTGTTGAACCTGGTTTGCACACCTCGACACGCGAACGCAACGTAACGTTCGAACCAGCCTGAGAGACAAAGGCTTTACATATGTAAGCTTCTCATCCAAACGATCCACCACGCATGTGGTCATGGGGACATTAGGGATCGCTCTCGAAATCATCGATGGCTTCATGTGCGACCGCAGAAACTGACACTCGACAGCTGCGATAACTCTTCCTCCCTGCTTGGGTTGCCTGCACCTTCCCCTGTTCGGCCTCCCGCGAGCGTTCTTGCTTCGGCTGCCTTCGCACTTCCAAGCCTGAAATAACTTTTAGAACAGCCGCATATCTCTGGGCGGTTCCAGACGCTTCCGCATGCTGCAAGGTAGCTTCGCATGGCAGGCTCCAGGACACGTCGCTCGGGTGGTGGAGATCTGATTGCCTGGCCCGGAGTCGTGCTCACTGCTGTTCATTCCTGTTTGCAAAAAGTCGAGGGCACAGTTCTCGCACCGTCATCGGTTCCTGCACCATGTGACATCCCGCATGATGGAAAAACAGCTGTCGATCACAAGAAGGGTTGAGTTTAAGTTCTCGGCTGGCTCGTTTCGCGACAGGCGGAGGTTCCTCCGTTGCATCTTAAATCCAAAGCATAGGATGTGGGACCAGCATGGCGACAGAAAGCGGCCTTGAAGCGCTTTCTTGTGGAGCCGTGTCTGAGGTTGAGCTTCGTGAACTCACGGGCCGAGTCCGTCAAGATCAAAACCTCCTCTTTGAATGTGACTCTCCGCCGTTTTGGCAAAGCTTCAGAAATGTCCGCTTGTGCATCAAGACGCGGTGGTCCTGTACCAAGAGTGTAGGCTTCGATGCAGATGTCCAGTTGAACACATCTCAACATCAGTTGCAACTTGCCTGGAATCGCTTTGGTGTCTTTTTGATGCACTCTTGGCATGCTCTGACCCACTTCGACCTCGAAATGCTGATGCGTTCGATGAACGGTCACGCTACAGGTCAGGGCAAAAGACGTGATTCATTTGCACACGTATCCTAGATCATCTCCGAATTTCTTCATCGCGGCAACAAAAGGCAGATCTCTTTCGGGTCCGCAATGTCTTGGGTAACGGGCAGAGGCAGAAGTGCATCTAATTTTATCGAAGACAGTGGGGGCTTCTGAAACTGGAGCTGTGTTAAGTTGCAAGAGAGTCTGACAACTTAAGCTGATGAGGCTTTGCATACCCCACGCGATCCAGCAATCTGCCTGGCCTCAGATGCCAAGCTCTCGCTGCTCTCGGAGTCTCGGCTGCTCGTCTCACTGTCGCTTTCACGGCTTGCTCCATATCCGTAGCCATAGCCAGGCATAGCCAGGCTTGGCCTGTGTGTCAGCGCCTCATGCGAGACAGGCTGCGCGACTTTGCCCAACCGCCATGGCGAATGGATGGACTTCCTGCTTTCGAAAACCAAGCTATCCGAACCAGCAGACTGTAAACGACAAACCGATTGCAACTTGGTCTTGGATGGATGTCTTTGCGCTGTGTGTCTTCCTCCCTGGAGAAAAGCAGAGCGGCCACAAGATGCCACAAGCTTCAAACTCAGAGCACCTGCCATGACACAGGAGAGCCATGGCATGCCTGGCATGCTAGCAGCTAGTGCTAGCAGCTAGCGCTAGCAGCTGGCATGCCATCGCTGCACATGGGCGCGTCGTGTTTCAGATTTACGCTTTTGTCAATGAAATCACTGTACCGTGCTTCGGCCCCTGTTTCACAGGGACGCTGTAGCTGAACTTTGAACTGTTTCCTGCCCTAGACCAAGCTCTCTGACTTCGAGTCTGGATGTGAGTAGCTTGCCCATTGCCGCCGCTGTTGCTTTCGAAACTGACTTTCAAAGATGTTGTTGGCTCAGGCTTTAGACTTCTTCTTGCCTCGATATTGCTGCAGTGACTGTGGCACTGACGGGCGCGGCGAAAGCTCTGAGTCCGCGTCCTGCTCCTTGCCTCAGCAGGGTACAAATACATGCGTCCTCAAAGTAGGTTTTCTTTGCAAACTTCCTTCCACCCTTGCATAGCTTCTCTCTCTCTCACTTCGCTGCGGCCGCGTTGCTTTGCTTTGGTCTCGACCTTTGTCTCTTTTACTTCTTTTGCTTCCTCCTTCTTGGGCGGCAGCTCATGCCTGCCAGGACTACATGAGCGGCCCGTCGGAGCCTCGAAGCAGGACGCCTCCATTGACAGTTTTTGTCTTTGCAGGAGCCATGCTTGATGAAGGCATAGCACAAATCCCATTTGTCGGTAAACTTGGCACCTCGGAATGTGTGGCGAAGTTCGATGCTTGCTACCGGAAGGTGCCGGCTGTGGGGCTGGGTCGCACACTGAGCCGTTCTCGACGAGCCTTTTCAGCGTGTTTCTTTGTCGACCGAGGCATTGAGTCAGTATGGCACAAGCAGCACTCTTCCTGGCCTGTTCTATTCGCTCTGCTTTGCTCTCCACAGCTTGCTGGCTCACCGCAGGAGCCTGTGGCAGTTCTCATGAGAGGATCCGCCAATGCTGAATGCAGCTCACTTTATGCTAGAGCCTTTGACGGATTGATGCTGGCAGCCAGAGACAGGAAACATGTACAGCAGCCACTAAAGCTCGACTTTCAGCGCGCAACAATCACAGGCCATGGGAGATTCAAGATGAAGTGCTGCAGGGCCCCAAGAATGACGTCAGCGTGCGCTACTATATTGTCAGGGCTTCAATGCGCTTTGCCGCAAAAGTCAGTGCACTTATAATAGCTGATTATAGCCCGTCACTACTCGAGGACTGAAGCAAGGTCACCCCGCAGCCTGCTTCTTGGCAGGGGCTGCTTTGTTGACATGGCTGCTCTCGCCTCGCCAGACTCGCCAGTGTCGCAGGGTGCCGGATGGTGCACGGATCCAGTCTGTGCCGGCCAAAGTCCAAGAATGCGACGCTCGCGTGCGAAGGCGGTGGGGCCATGTTGGGTCAGCCACTCGACTGCCTTGACCATGACCTGTCCAAAAGTCCCTACTCTCGCCCTCTTACACCTCGAAACAGACATACAAAGCCTGCCTCGGAGCCTTCGAGGTTGTGAAGCTCTGTGCGCAAGGTCCTGGGAGACATGGCAGCCACCACTATAACAAGCCGCTCTATACAGATATACTACATTTCCATGAACCGTACAGTCTGAAGCCAGTGTCCCTTGCAGACTTTGGAGTGCATCTCGCATCCAAACAGGCACGCCTGTTTCACATGCAAACGTCGGCTGATTTCTCAAGGCTCGCTCTGTGAGCCGCACGGTAACTGCGGCCTTCATCTGCAGCTTTCAAAGTCAGGCTGGGTTCGTGCAGCGGGTAGAAACTGCGTCGGCAAGCAAACCATGTCGCCACATCAATCGCTTGCTGGGAATCTCTGGGATTGCTGCGGTGGCAGAGAAAACTCCAAGTAAACCTGGCCCAGACTTGTCGCACAGCTGCTCGCAGAACATACAGGAAGGGCCGTGACTGTACACCCACCATTTGGCCCATCCACGTGCTGTGCGACCTGGCAGCGAGAACATCTCGTGTGACCAGCATCAGCCAACGTCAGCCTGACCCTCATCAGAGTACGGTCGAGCTTCGTCTTAGTCGATTTCGCGTTTGCTTAACTTACAGGCAAAAGCTTGCTAATAGGCTTGCAAGGAATGCTACTTCATCTACTTTATCCTGTCCTACTGAATTTTGCTTCCTTCCTTGTTGTTACAGGGAATGAATGTTTCACTGTAAATTGATGGGGCGCCGGGGAGTACACCGGCAGTGGGCGTGGGGAGGAAGGTGGGGCGTAATTGCTTGCCGCGAGCCAACACCTCACAGAGAGCTGGTGCGGATGCGGACGATGAAACGACGTCTCATGTCTTCCGGATCGACGACCAACCGAAGCCGATGCTCGGCCTTCCTCGTCCCTGCCCGTCTTGGTATTCTCTCCCTTTCCGCCTTCCGCCTTCCCCCTCCCCTTGATGACGAATACGGCCCCCAGCTGTTGCGGCCTTCCGCCTCGACATCTCCTTTCTCGACTTCGCTTCACCTCACAGGTCGGACTCCTGACCACTCCTTCGGCCTGCAGTCAAAATCCCAGCTACTCCCGGGACCAGGAGAGTCGTCTCCATCAAACTCCGCCTGCGCCAACTGAGGTTCTCCAAAGGGATAAACTCGTGTCGCCTGCGCCTAAAGTAGGCTCTTCAATGCTCTTCACAGATACGGCAGACAGACAGCGGCCTGGCCAAAAGCACGAAGAAGGAATACAAAGCCCACGTCGTTCAAAAAAGCATGTGAGAAGAACGTCAGTGCCCTGGATTATTGACACTGAAGCATTTTAAGTTCCTGCAGACCTTTTAGCTAAGAAACAAGTGGGCGGACATTATTTCTATTGAATTCTATTGCGTGGGCCTGCTGCAACACCAGCCCGAAAAATACATGAGCTCTACGCTGCGCAAAGTAAACTCTTAAACCTAAGTCCTCAGCCGATTCACCACTAGACTGGGGGCGGGGCGGCATTGGATCTAATGAAATGCGCGGGTATACAAGGATTGGTGCGTACAGAGGGCAGTAACTTGCAGTCATGTAATGCGAGCTGAGGAAACACACATGTTCCTTGGCTGCTGCTACTTCAGGAGGCTTGCTAAGTAACTTTTCCTCAAACGGGAATCATGAAAGTCAGAGTTCGTCTGAGCTTGTCGGGACAAGCACGCCGCAAAAAAGCTTGAGCAAAAGGAATCTTCCCCGGACTCTTGAGCTTATGCTCCGTACGTCTCTTGAAGTTGCTGAACCAAGAAGATGGACACGCAAATTCGCAAGTCCTCTGGCAGCTGCGGCAAACCGCAAAGGCTGCTAACAAACCAAACGGTTTGCAACGACGAAGAGAAAAGGAACACGAAGCAGTCTGCACATCTGCCAACGGACCACCAAGCGGTAGCATCTCGCCTGCAAGCACGCCCGGAACCGCCCGAGAAACGAGGAGGAAAACATCTCAGCAGAGATTCCAAATGGACGGGTAAAATAGCCTGGGTCCGATGACGTAAACCGAAAATTCCGGGAGTTCAGAGGTGGCCCAAAGCCGTATGTCGCTGGTCCTATCGGCATAATTTGCATAATGCCACTTCTCGGCAGGCGGCCTGGCCTGGACTCGCAGGGGATCTGGTCTGCGACTGACACGTCCATTGGACAGACACTCCTGGCCCACTGCAATCCCAGCGACACATTGACTCGACATGGCATGCTGGGCAGTCCATGCCCTTGCCTGCAAATGTGCCTGCACATCTTGCGTCAGCACTTGGCATTCGTCCGGAAACATGGCCGAGACAACCTCACGATGGGGACATTTCAACCCATGGCCACAAGACGATGCAAGAAAGGTGAGTCCAGTCTCTTCTGCACCGGCTTGACTCCTTGCTATAACGAGGTCCACCAAAGACAGAGCAGTTCCTATGTGCCGATCTGGCTTTCCGACCCAGAGCGCAGTGGACGGATCGTGGAGTCGTGGAGATGCTGAGGCTGAGACATCAATCTCGGTGAGCAGGCGCTCGTGCAAGTCCGGAGTAGCCCATTCGGGAACCCAAGCCTGCACTTCATAAGCTCTCAAAGTGTCTGGTGCGCTGATGCTCTGACAAGCCATGTTTGCTCTTCCGTTGCCTCAACTTCCAAGGGAGGAGGAATTTGGTCGTCCTTGTTCCATCAACCGGACAACGAAGTTGTCAGGTAAAGAACCTCTTGCTCCCTCGCCCCTCGCTCCCTCGCCCCATGCGGGATAGCGGCGCAGTTTTTAGGGCATCACAGTGTTACAATCTCTTGACGGGCCTCTTGGTGATCGTCGCCTTCACTGTCCTCCCAGATCTGACTCGGATTTGCAAGCTGAAGATCTCCGACAAGCCCATAAACCAATTTGTGAGTTGCCGGGGTAGCGATTTCTGAGCCACTCCAGTACATGGGCGGTCTTTGGGATGTCCTGCTAGTGTGGCCTCGGTCAACCTGACGATAGCAAAGAGTATCCCAAAAAGACTGTTCCGCGTGATGCTGTCTTTGCCTCTTTCTGCCGGAAGCTGCCCGATGTTGCACGCTGCTTCGTGTGGGCGATTTGTTTGTGAGGCATCTTGGTTTCCTTCTTCCTCTATGCAAGCAAGCTCTTCGCAACAACACGGACGAAGTATGCTCCTGTAGCTATGGTCAGTCAGTCACCAGATGCACTTGGAACACTGGAGTTCTCTGCAAGCACCCTGCATGCATGCCTCAGGCCCGACAAGCCGTGACCAAAAGAAACGGGGCTGGCTCGCATGCTGTTGAGTAGCGCCTGCCCTTCCCCACGCCCTCCTCGAGCTGAGTAGACAGCCGCATCTGAGAAGATCCGGCCTGCCCCGCGACACGGCCTGAGCGGGAGCGACAGCAGCGACAGTGTGTTTCAAGGTTGCGACCCTTTCGCCAATCCATCCCATCTTAACCCTTCACTGAAGCCGCCGAGGCCAGGCAAGAAACACTGCCCTGGCCCTTCGTTCATTTCCCTTGCCATGCAGGAGAAGACGCCAATCGGCTTCAATGCAAGAAAAAATTGATGGCTTCCTGCCAAGTTTCAAGCACAGCTTGATCTGAATATTTGAATAACCTCTTAGCCTATTACCATCTTATTAACACCTCGCCTTCTCCGGTGGGCTCTGCGCGGGCACGTCCAGTGACGGAGAAAGTGATCTGAAGAGCACCCAGAGCACAGCACAAGTCTTTGTCTGTCAGAGGCATGACGCACACATGCACATGACCTGCGCCCGATCACCGCGACTGCGGGGCAATCTTGCCTTAAGAGGTCTGATACTCTGACTCGCAATCGGACATGCTCGGGCTAAGCCAGAAACTGCCCGGGCCCGGCGAGGAGCTGATGCAGACTGGAAACATAATGCAGCATGTCATCAGCTCACACGAACTAACTGTAGCGATCCTCGGCGAGCGTAGGGTCAGTGGGGCCGAAGAGAGGTTCCTCCTCCTCATCCTCCTGGCCGAAAGCGTCTGGGCATGCTGGAGGGAATACCTTTACAATACGGACCGCACTTGTCCTCGTACTCTTCATCAAACTCCGTGTCGTCTACAACCTGTAGACCGCCATCATTATGAACGGTCCTGGCGCAGCGGCAGAGATGCAAATTCCACAGTTGCTTGAAGCCGTCTGTTCCTACAGCTGCAAATGCTGCAGTACCGATCGTCCTTCGGGTGCAAGTGCGGATGCGCCTGGTGCCAATCAAGCTGGCTGCTGAGGATCAGCACATGCTAATTCAATGCTGCTGCGCCTCTCCGGCTGTGTCGAAGCTGGTTCCTTGGCGGAGTCCTGACTCGCGAACCGCTTCGAAGTACCGTTGGAACACATTGAAACCCTTCAACAACAGACAGCGGTCCTGGGAGGAAGCCCCCAGTGCCGGCCTGAGTCTTGGTATGGACTGTCGACCACATGCGACATCGCACCGTGCAAAGGCGATCGCCAGTCTGACGCTGACTGCTCTGAAGCCTGCCAGACAGACAACATCCTTTTTGGCACTCACTCTCGGCAAGCAGGCGAGGCTCCTGTCCGACAACTTCCTACAACACAAGAGGTCTGTTTGAGCAAGTTCCTCAGAAGGGCAACCGGGGTGGGGGCTCAGGTCAGCAGCCGCGGTGATTCAATGAGGGAAGCTTAAAACCTGCACTGGGAGCTGCATTGGCAACTCCGAAGGCTACTCAGCTTGCTCTTCCAAGCGCTTACAGCATGTTATGGTGATTGTCTCTTTTGTCAGAGATGCTTGGAGAAGCTCGCAAGAATCCCCTCACGAAAAGTAAACGAAGCAACGACATAGCCCATGCGACTGCCTGCAGGGCATCAGACTCTGCTCCTTGGCGCAGTTGCTGGTTGCAGTTGCATCTGGCACTCAAGGACATAACGGTACTAAATCAAGGAACTGCCTGGCAAACTGCCAGGCCGAACTAGCTGACATACAAGGCAGAGCTCCCAAGATGAAGTATGAACTGCATGGACTTGTGAGGTCTCGATACGGCGACAATCGCCCTGTGTCTGTGCATTCCCCGCGTTCTCAGAACCGGGCCTGGCTCTGATGTCGCCTGCCATGCCTGTACGCTGAAACGACTTGGTCCACTTGGTGGCTCTGTGGCTCCAACCGGGGGCGCGGCTGGTTGTGGAACATTCCTTTCACGAGTCCAAGGCCCCAGTGACCCCTGAAGTGTCAGATTCGAGTGGAGCCTGACTGAACGAAAGTCGAAGAGGCTGCGTAGCATCGAAGCGGCCTGGCAACATCTTCATGGACAACCAATGTCGAGGCTTGGGCATCCCTGTGCCTCCCGCTCCAAAGCAGCCATTCTTACAGCAGCTGGCCCTTCAGCCTCATTGCTGAAGGCATACGTCCACATCCACGTGTGGCAGCCCGCGCTGCCTGCGTCGTCGTCTTCACAGCATTCGCGAGGTCGAAGGCATCTGCCACCTGCGGAGCACTTGACCTCTTCAAAAGAATCTCTTCAGCGAGGCCGAGAGCTTCGCGTGCACAGCGGGACAGCCATGGGCGCAAATGTACTCATCCAGGGATCTACATTCGCCTGCGGCTCCAATCTTTGCGTGCTCGTGACTGTTCAACCTAAACCTGACCTGTTGAACGCAGGCTCAAATCCTGCATCATATGCCTCGGGATAGTTCTCTTCGGTTTACGGGGTCAATGAGCTGACCGCTCGAGACCAGAAATGAGGCGAGAAACCTGCAAGCAGGTTGCTCACGCTTTCTGTGAGACAAACACCGTCACCACAACTGGGTTCGCCTTCCGTCGAACCAGTGAATCACCTGATTTGGATTCGCGCCTCAGCTCAGGCTGAATTGGCTGAACTTGCAAAGGTTCGCAGAACGGATCAGAACGGGAAGAATTCGAACTTCGGCAGTGACGAAGCAGGTCTTCTGCAGCTTCGCCCCAAATGCCTTCCTTCGGCACCTGCCATGGAAGGGACCGCGGGTTCCACATTGCCACCCTTCTATGGCTAAGGCTGGGCCTCTGCGGACTCCGTCGTGCCCAGCCTTAGCGGCTTAGCACAAAGAGTTCAGGACTTTTCTGACAGCAAGTGCGCAACACTGCGCGCGCTGCGGCTTGAAGTTTGCGATGCAAATCTGCGATGCATTTGTGCTCTGTGCGCAGGGCAGCCCAAACGGATCCACCGGTAGCTCCTGTCAAGGAAGCTGCTTATTGCCTGTCACGGCTCCCCTGGGACACTCGATTCGATTCAGCACTGCAGCAAAGGCTCGCTGCCTGTGTACTTGGCACTATTGATCTGGGATCTGGGAACCATTGTCATCATTATCGGCTTTGTAACTGTCCGTCATCAAACTCAGCTAATGAAGGAACAGAAGTTGTCGCAATGCTAAGAGCGAAATGCCCGATTCGCCTGCCTGGAGGATGAAGCGAAACATATACACCAATCTCCAACTTAACTTAAATTGGTATTCAGCTTCTCCATCGCAGAAGCTGTGGCTGAATCGAAATACTGCCCAGTGCATGACAGCAACTACTCCTGCTGGCACTCGCAACATCTCTAGTTGCTACGTCTTCGGAATAGCTAAATAGCACGTTCAGCAAGATCCTATGCTGTTTCCAACTGTGCAGCATTATTTTTAGCAACCTGCTGCTGGCAGTCCGTCCTCCAGTGACGTGAGAGAAATAGGGCAACAACAATCGCTAGGAAGTAGAGCTTTTAGCCTGCGGCTGTGTTCAATCTGCGTGCGAATGCAGTCTGCTGATGAAACACGTACCTGGCCGGGCACGGGTGCGGCTTTGGCTTTGGCTTCAACCTCAGCTTTGTGCACGCGTGCACAAATACTAGCTAAGCTGGCACCGAGGCTCGGGCGGCCCTGCAACCGTTGCCGAAGCTTTAGCGGCTGATTTGGTTGCAGAAGACGCTGACTGGCCAGGCCCTGTCAAGTAGCATTACTGTCACTTATCGTTCTTGCTGCCTGATCACGAGGGTCTACAGCCTCCAGCGTTGTGCACAAAACTCGGTCTAGTTGAGCCCAGCACGCCAAGAACAGATCCGGTAGGTCTGCGCCTGCACCTGGTGATGATCTTTGCTGTGCAGGAGGCACTGCCCGAGTCTTCACGACCTTGCAAGTCAGAAAGTTGTGCTGTGTATTGTGAATGCTTCGTAGTGAGATGCGCGCGCTCGCAGCACCAGGGTAGGCCGGGGCAGGCGTGGGCAGTTGCGACTCCGCCTGCCGGGAGGCTTCGAAGGACCCACCCAGAACTGCCAGGGTCATGTTGCAATCACGGGGAGACCCGAACTTGTTCCGCACCCAAGCCATCTCCATCACTGTATGCCATGAAAGAAACCTAGGTGAGACAGGCCCCCATGAATGAACTCGGGCCGGAGCCCTGTGTGGCGAATTTAGCCGAGCTGTAAGTAGGGCAGTGGCGCGAGCATTCTCCGTGAGCTCTTCCCGCCCGTCAACATCTGAAATATGCACCTACAGCATAAGCTAAAGATTTCCCAAGAAGAAGCAATGTCACCCATTGCCCTCCAATCTGCGCCGAGACAGTGGCATAGATACGACCGCCATGCTTTGCCTTGGCAAGCGACACATACTAATCCTTGAAAAGAGGGTCCAATCTGTGGCAGATGTGCTTCGCAAGCTAGCTCCGAGTGTACTTGTTCACTTGTTCCATAAGAATAATCATAATTGTCCTTTCCGCGTCACAACACTCGAGGCCGCAACACTTTCCTGATGGTTGATACGCTTGTCTGCACGTATCCATCCAAATCGGCCTTTCCAGCTCAACACCTGGCTGGCAGCACATACAGCCCTCTAATTTCCTTTACTGCAAGCTCGTGCCGAAGCGGCAGTTCCCAGCAAGCGGCTCTCGCTCACACGGATCCGGGACCTTCAGATGTCACATGATGTCACAATGCATGGACACTTCTGCGACATCCACTCAGTCTTTTCCCTGTGACACTATGATCGCTGCCCCATCCTTCTCTGACCTGGCGGGCATTAACACAAGCCAGAAGCAAGGAATAGCCGCACCATGCCTTAGGCCTGAGCAAAATCACGGCTGCTTGCGCGGGTGCGGCAATCTTGTCATCACGGCTAGGGCTATATCAGCATCAACTTGTCGGGTGAAGGGCTGATCTTCAAACACGACTTGCTTTCTGAACACTGGCTTTTCTCTTGAACCAAAACTTTCACACTTCAGATATGAGACTGTCGCGCAGGTAGGCGGAAAAGTCGGAAACCAGAACGACTGAATCGGCAACCAGCATGGCTGAGTCGGAAACCAGCCTTGATTCGGAAACCATGACGGCTGATTCGGAAACCCAGGCCGACTGATCAGGAAACTACAGCGGATGATTCGACAACCAGAAAGTCTGATTCGGGAACCAGACGATCATTCGGAAACCAGAGGCCGCGATTACCGATTGGGTTCGACGATGGATGTCATCATGTTACATGTTTGCGAGAGCCATCGATGCTCTCTTCTCAGATAGCCTTCGACCGTGGAAGTTATCATGGTTGGCCCATGGATGCTCTGCGGGCAACGATGGGGTCAGGGTGGATCTTATCATGCCGACCAACCCATCTGCTCCACCCCAATCCCCATCCCCTCCACCACAGCCTCGTTCAAGCTGCCGCGCCGGTTTCCAAGCTCCAGCTTCTGATGTGCAGTTTCCGGTGTGCGGCGGTTTCCGCTGGGCAGTTTCTGATGCGCGCCTGTGTAACTGTTCCTGCTGTGCAACCTTCGGCAATGGCTGAAGGAAGGAAGCCCAACACACGATTGGCAACATGCCTCAGTGACGCTGTTCGAGTGCACTGTGCATTGTACAGTGCCAGCAAAGCTAGCGCCTTACCGGACCAGGCCCTCGCAGCTGATCGACGGGGTCCAATGACTTCACATACAAGCCAAAAGCATGCAAAAGCCATGCATCGCTTTCGATCGCGCTGGGAAGCTGCCGAGCTGAAGAGTTTGACAGATTAAGTCAAGGAAGACGCATTTTTTGAGTTCGTGATATCACATGATGCCTGTGGAGAACGTTGCAGAAATGACTCAGGCTTGACCGTGCTTTCCTTGACTTCCGAAGATGCAAACACCCATGTACGGTTCCATGCGCTTCCCCGGCTCCCAAACCTGCATCAGGGACTCTAGTTACTAGAACTGATATTTGCTGCGCTGCGAGTGCTTCGAGTTACCCAACCGATTCTTTTCCAACCGCTGCAGAGGCGAAATGGATGACGTTCTCAGGCGACAGCATAGGACACGCGAATGTTGCCCTGTTTCGCCTGAATCTTCTTGATGGAGACCTTGAAGCCAGAGACACTTTGCGCTCCGGTAACAGACAATACTCTCTTACAGCCTGCCTCGCCGATCTCTCCAGAGTGCTCCACATGCGTACCACCACACCCACAGGAGACGCCATCCTTGGAGTCTGTCCACAAACCTTGACTCTCGACAGAAAAGGAAGCAGGCGCACCATTGCGATCATTCGCACACCATCCACGAACTCGATGTTTGTGGCGACCTGGATCAAGCCAGCTAACAGACAGGCACCGCACAGCGCACATGCGACAGTGGCCACTAGCAATCACTAGCAAGTATTGAACAGGTCGACAGCACCGCACGGGAGAGAACAGGCATTTCATTGTTCGGCAGTTTCGTTGATGCAGGCCGTGCCGCAAACAGAATCGTGCAGTGCTGACGAAGCGCAAACATGTGGAGGCCAAGCTACGACATGTACAGGCACAACACAGTTGTCGATCAGAGGGTGTCACCGAATCGACGCTCTGTGCCTGCCAGCGCGCCCCATGCAAAGTCCGATTACTTATGCTGTTAAGTAGCAGCGGCATCTCGAGCACGAGAACAGAAGCACGGGGAATGTGGCGGGCACGAAGGCCCACTGCGTAGAACCCCCCTTCGCACCCGCAGGAACTGCCACGAGCAGCAGCATCGTCCGACCGACGAGCTTGGCCGGCGCATCTCCGTAGCTGCCATCTGGAATGAAGGCTCTTCTCCGACGCTTGCGGCCGAAATGCTAAAGGTTGCTTGCAAAACGCTTCGGATCTGAGGTTGCTGGTGAATTTGTAAGTTTCCGTCCCGATGCGGCGGAACCGTGGAGTGTCCTTAGTCCCGGAAACTTGAACCGTTGCCGCTGGGTGCGATGCCTTTTTGTCGACCAGCTCCTTCATCTTGGATGCCTTGGGCTGCATCCCCATGATGCGCGGACTTGTGCATTCAGTCCAGTGAGCTGCCGGCCAGCTCCTGCATCACTAGTTCCTTGGCTTTCGCATCTTTTACGTCGAGCTGACGTCCGTCCTGGCACAAAACATGCCCATCAAGGCGTAGGAGGATGTGTGGCAAGAGTTGACAATGTCGCCTGGGACGGTAGATACTCCACATATGGCCTGGTGCGGGCTGCTTGCAAGGTCTTCTGCATTGCAATCTAGACTCGGCTTGTCCGAAGACGAGGATGCCACGAGGTGCTTAAGCACCAACGGTGGCCCGAAGTCACGCACGCCCACCCACGCACGCGCGGTGCATGTGCGTGCACGAAAAACCGGCTGAGCTGGGCCCTTGACCCATCTGGGAAGTGATAGCCTTTGCCTGCATCATGTCCAGGCTTGTCATGGCTTTGAACTCAAGTCGATCAGAGTCAGGAAAATGGATTGCATCTAATTGTTCGCCAATTATCCTTCCACGGTGTGCTGTGGTTCCTGCAGCTGCCGTACGGGTCATTCACAAAAGCTTAAACGTGTCAGCTCACAGTTTGTATCACACAGCAGCAGCATGCCTGGCTTCCAACGAAAGCCCAAAGCCATCATGGCAACATCCTGACGGAACTGTGGCTTCTTGGGTTAGTTCAGGACATACAAGGAAGAGAAGAGCGGATAACATTTGCCGCAGAAAATTTGACAGACAAGGCTTTTGCCGCAGAGCTGAGCAACATGTTGAATGGGAGCTTCTCAACTTCTCAGTCTCGAGCTTACGGGAATATGCACATCCCACATTTCTTGCTGGACATGCTGCTGCAGGTGCTGAGATGTTTTTGGAAATGATATAGTGGGGTGATGGCATACCTTATTCTAGATCGGCCGTCCGCTTGTTATCCCTTTCGCAGGTATTCGCAGGTCTCAGCAAGATGCGAGGCACAATTCACAAACTGCCGCGGATGAGGAGCGAACCAGCAGGTGTCCAGCAGAATGTAGTCTTGCATGAAGACGCCGTCGAGGCTCGTCGACGTTGCAAACAACTTCCACACCTTATCAACTTAGCGTGGGTCGCAAACTGAGCTTGTCGAGGGTGTGCCTTCTTTGCCCAGCCAGGGCTGAAAATCACCTTCCGGGTCCATAGAAGATGGTTTCCAAGGAGAAACTTCAAAAAAGCTTGCTCGACCTCTGCATTCATGCCAGAGTACTCCTGGATCCACCTTCGACTCCCAGCACGGGTATCAGTCAGCAGTTCTTGGGAAACTTAGATGTCGGGAGGCCCGGACTGCGCACAGGGGCCAAGGTCGAGGGCTAGAGAGGCTGTCGAGCCTCAAAGTTTGAGAGGTTCGACCTCGAAAGCTTGAAATTTCGAAAGGAACGAACTCGAGAGTTTATGAGCCGGTGCCTCTGAGAGTTTGAACTGAAGGACACTTTGAGAGGATGAAAACTACAAGGTTTGAGTCTAGATCGGGAGACCGGTACGCTCGTCACAGGTTGCGAGGGACAGATGTTGAAAGGCAGTGTTGCTTTGGGAAGCTGAACAACGTCTCGACGGTTTAGCCTAAAACCAAGCCCCCGAACAAGCAAAACATTCGACCCCAAACGTTTGCACCCCGAAGCACCACAGGCTCAACTGAAGCCCGAAAGTCGGAACAAACCCTGAAACTGAAGCTAAACAGAACACACTGAATGATGATAAATGCTATGAAGCTCGTCAGCGACTCTCGAACCAACTCATCAGTGCCATCCAAACTCCAGGCTGAAAGCGTTAACAACTCTTAGTACAACATCGCTTGGTACAGGGTTGAGTCAGGATTTACACTGTATTGGGCTGTCGGGTGAAGCGTTGCAAGTTTTTGGTGTTGTTTATGTGCTCTGCAGCAGCCGCAAAGCCCGAACCAGTAGAAGCTCTGGAATATGTTGTCTGCATTCCTTGCGCACTGTGGCCCTTTCCATGGCGCAGCCGAACTGTCTCGTTTCTGATATCATTTGCCTGGGTGCACTTCTGGAAACGGCAGTATCCTCAGATTATGTTCTCATGTGGCGCCATATTGGACATTTGCAGAAGCTGCAACTCGCGGAGGGAACTGCGACGAGAGACATGCCGGAATCGTCGCTTCAGTGCGCACTCAAACGACAACCGTCTCATCGCTCGCGCCAAAGTGCAAAATCAGATCGAGCCAGAGCGAAGCTCACATCCTCGGCTTGAGGATAAGATGGGCTTGTCGGAGACAAAGTGACACCGAGGGGCCCCGGAACGGGGTGCTCCTTGAAAAGAGGGGAAGGGGAGAGGTTGCCGCCGATATCGCATCTGAGTCGATGATTGAATCTGAAGGTCATTGGAAGTTGGACCCCCGAATCAGGCGCAGCTGTGAAGGTGGCCTTTTCGCCACGCAGAACGCGAGGTTGCAAACGGCAACTCCCACAGGCTCCAGCAGAGCAAGCTTTCGCGATGGGTGTAGTGCTTCAGATCGTCTGCTGCAAACATGTGCATGAGTCCGGTACACATGCACCGACAGGCACCAGCAGATGAAGTCCAGCAAGCCAGAAGCTGTTGGTGGTTCGCAGCAGGCATTCCACTCCTATTTCGCCAACACGGACTTGGACCGGAGACGTCTGCATTCGGCGAGGCTGTTTCGACCACACCATGTCGTTGAATGGACTGCGAGGTCTTAGCAAACGAAAGACAACAAATCCTGCCGCTCAGAATCTTATACCCGTCAAACTTTCGAGCATCAGTCTTTCAAACTCACTACCTCCTCGCCGATCCGGGA